CAAAGGCTAGCAGGCGTGGCACTTTCGCGACACCACAGGGGGTGGGCAGGGGGTGGTCTCTCAGCTCGGCCGCTATCCACGACACTGGCGCAAAGCCTAGCAGGCGTGGCACTTTCTCGACACCACAGGGGGTGCGCAGGGGTTGGTCTCTCAGCTCGGCCGCTATCCACGACACTGGCGCAAAGCCTAGCAGGCGTGGCACTTTCTCGACACCACAGGGGGTGCGCAGGGGGTGGTCTCTCAGCTCGGCCGCTATCCACGACACTGGCGCAAAGCCTTGCAGCCGTGGCACTTTCTCGACACCACAGGGGGTCTCTGAGCGCGGCCGCCACCCACGACACTGTCGCAAAGCTTAGCAGGCGTGGCACCCTCCCGGGACTATAGGGCCAGCGCAGGGGGTGATCTCTTGGTGCAGTGATTATCCACTGCATTGCGCGTGAGAGCTTGCGTCTTACCCTGATCCGTAAACATCGCGGCTCAAGCCGGCGCGGCACGACTGCGCATTTACGCAAGTTTGTTTGTGCTCCAACTTGCGGGCAACAACCGCCCGGCCTACGCGCGGCAGCAATGCCGCCCAAAATTGACATTGGACAGCTGCCGCTTCCGTGCGTGAAGCTGAAGAACGCACTGATTGAAATGGGCGACGATGTAAGCCTGGAAGGCTTGCGTGGCTGCGAGGGGCCTCTGATAAGGAACGCATTCGATGCCTATCACCGTCAACTGAAGAATTGGTGGCCCGAGACGCTTTACATGAGGTATAACGAGTTGCCGCACCCAGGTACGAACGACGATGGCAGGAGGAGGCAGTGCCTGGTGGCATACTTGCTGAACCCTTCGTCCGGCGGGTTCCCGGCTGATCAGCCGGGGGGCAGTGCAGAGCAGTGCAGTGATTTAAATTAAGTATGCGGGGTTCTTCGGTAGCGTAATTACATTGATTTTCGAATCTCTGGGCCCTCCAAGGCCAGCTTGTGTTGAGGAGAAGGAGGAGGAGGAGGAGGAGGAGGAGGAGGAGGAGGAGGAGGAGAAGGAAGAGGAATTAGAGCAAGAGGGGGAGTGAGGAGAAAGAGGATGAAGATGAAGTTAGAGAAAGACGAGGAGGATAAAGGGGGAGGAGGAGGAGAAAGAGGAGGAGGATGCCCCGCACTCTGCTAGCCCAACCGTTCGCCCGAGACATATTCGCGCCTCTGGGCCCCGAAACGCGCTAGGCTGGCCTCGGCCGGCGTTGCCCGGTCGCTCCCGATTAGGAACTCTTCACCCATTCCGACTTGGCGGTGGCCCGCCCTATGTCCACGCGCACGCACGCCGCTTGCATTCGAAACTACAAGGAACGCCCCAGCGACCGCGTCGGTCGCGCCTGACTAGCTGGCCGCTCTGCGCGCGACTGCGCGCGCCAGTGCGGCCGCGGCGATGCGACGGCCAGCTCCAGGCAGGCGTCGCAATCGCCGCCCCATGGTTTTGTAAACCAAGTTGCGGGTGGGCTGGTGACACGATTGCGCGAACAGTGGAGTTGACATTCGCTGCGACCCAAAATTTTGAGCGCTACATAGATTGCACCACGTCGACTCTCCTTTCTGAACAAGGAGTTAACATGCACGACCCCCGTGAAGCCGGGAGTATCGCCCCCCGTGGAGATGCGCAACATTAACGTACGGTTTTGTCGTTCGAATTTATGAGTTCATATAACCGTAGCCAGGCCGGCATCGGCTGTCCTTGTCATTTTTTACAAAGAACAGCACGCGCGCGCATTCGTTTTCAAAAGTCACCAGTGTTCATAAATCCCTTGCAGCAGATAGGACGACGTGCACACGTGCGCGTCGTCGCGCCCGCGTGCCAGAATCTTTCAAAAAGGATGTCAAATTCGCGCGCCCAGAACTTATAAAGGCACACGGTTTCGCAACATGTTTTTTATTTAACCAAAACACACACACACACACACACACACACACACACACACGCACACACACACACACACACACACACACACACACACACACACACACACACACACACACACACGCGCAGCACACACACACACACACGCAAAGTTTGTGCGCCCCCTTGCGAATTCACACTTTCATCAAATACGACCAAACGGCCTCTCGCGCGCGCGTGTCAAAATCATTCGAAAGCCCTTGCGCGCGATGGGGGGGGGCACGACCCCTGTCAAATAAAATCATGCGGGCCACTGGCGCGCGTCGGCTGCGCGCTTGTCGAAATCTGACCAAATCCTTCATCACCGACACGAAGACACCGTCATCATCGGCACCGTATTCAACCTTGCCGGCGCTGAAGTGCCTGCGCGTCAGCACGGCTTGTCAAACGCGCTGGGAAGTGTCCATCGGTCAGTGCCACCGCGGCCGCGTCGGTCGTGCCAGACCACCTGGCCGCTCTGCGCGCGAGCCTGCGCGCGCTAGCGCGGCCGCAGCGAAGCACCAGCCGCTGATGGGGTGGGTGGGGCGATTGCGCGGGCAGTGGAGTTGACAACACACGAGTGAGCATTCGTTAATTGCACCACATGGAGTGCACCACATACATTGCACAACGTGGATTGCACCACGCGGATTACACCAACGTGGATTGCGCCATTCTGATTATTCCACATGAGTTGTACACCATTTAGTACGAGAAACGCACCGCTTGGGGCCCACGCTGGCGAACATGTGTTGTTCACTGTATTATGAGGAAGGCGAGTTGAGACAACGGTCTCGGGCCTTCGGGGGGGATCGTCGCCATGGCTGGACGCAGCTCGGAAAATTCATGCGTTTGGACCCCAGCAGGGGCCTGGGGACCGATTTTGATTCGCCGTTGTTCAATTCGCCTTGCTCCGAGGCACGGCGCAGGTCGCGAAGCCGTGCGCGCGTGCAGCCTGGCACAAACAAGCAGCGATCAGCGTCGACGGGGTCGACGACGAACATCAAGAGGGCAAAAGTTGTTCCAGCATGGAGACGTTCGGCTGCCCGACAAGGGGGGGATCCCGGAAGACGATCTCGAAGTATAGTTTTTGGATGTAATTATTGCATTCGTCGGGAAGTTTCTCGTCGTCGTCTTTCGTCGACGTGGGTGGATGTCTGAGAATAGTTGAAGTTTTGCGCGGTTGTTGTTGTTGGAAGGCCCCGTCCGTGCTTTTCGGGCCACCACGTGACCACAGCTGGATCCAGCTGGAGTTTTTTTTCCCAAAGCTCCAGGACAGGTCTGGGGGGTGTCCTCTTCCCAGCTTCATCCCTCCCTCCATCCCTCCTGTCTCCCTGCCCGAACGATGCGCGAGCTGGTCCTTCGGACGCAGCGAGAGATATGTTTCGGACAGGCTTGCTTCGCGGCATGCGTGCATCGGCCCAATGGAAGTTCCTTGATGTTTCACCACGGCGCTCGCCAGCAGAAGTCGGCAGAAGTAAAACGATGCCGAAGACGGTGGAAGGCTGGCGGAAGTAAAGGCCGCCCCTTCCGAGCCCCCTACCTCCCTGGAAGTCTAGCAAGTCTTGCGTGGGCTGGGCGGGATCCCGCCTGACTCAATCTCCTCCAATACAAAAATAGTTCGGCCGATGCATGATCCCACCCGTTAGAAACGTGGTAAACCAGGATCCCGTCCCGTTCCCAGTCCCGCCAGCTTCGGATCGGTTTGACGTAAGATGCGGCTGAAAAGTTGCGGCCTCCTTGCCGTGTTGGGGTCGTCGTGAGGTCCTCTTGGGATCATCTTGAGATCATGTCTGGCTCATTATTGTTGGATCACGCGGACGTCGTCGGGTCATTCGGGAGCCGCATCGGCCGCGCTTAGTTCCATCTTCTAGCCATCGTGCCATCTCGAGGTCGCTCTCGTTGCTCTTAGATTGGGCAATCATAGAGTCAGCCTGAGACGATCCAGAAGTCCTGTTGGGATCATGCTGGGGCGGCGTCATCCCAGGGCCACTTGGAGGTCATCGTCTGTGGTCCGAGCTCTCTTGGAGCCATCTTGTGGTCATAGGGTCATCTCGGAATCGTCTTTAGGTGAGCTCTGAGCACGCGTCCACAAAGTGTCATTTTGCCGAGGGCGCATTTGCAAACATATCTTCTTGCGACTTTCCAGGAACATTATTGTTGGAGCCAAGTAGGTGAGGATCGTAGCGTCGTTCGGTATCATCAAAGTTTCCACATTGCACGTTGCGTTGCCCCAACAGACACCCACGCATGTACGCACGCACGCACGCATGCACGGGCTACGAAAAGCTTGACGAGGCGGGGCGCATTGTGATGATGTGCGGGCGGGGAGGACATTCTATTCGACGTATTGAAGATAGCTAACAAGTACGATATGCCAGGCGTCCATGCCGCCCAGAGGTGAAGTCGATGGTCTGGCATACAGCGCGTTCAGCCTGTATGTGGCACGGGAGTTCTCAAAATTGTAATGTCCAGTGATAATGAGCACGTGTTGGAGCATACCAGTTGGTGTTTATGGGACGAGGTGTTAACAGGAAGCCGTTGGTTCTCGTCGTTTGGTGCAGTGGTCATCCTTGGTCGCTTAGTTCATGAGCGACGTGGAACTTGTGCACCCTCGCGCACCAGCAACCCCGACAATCCGAGTAGAAACGCCCCTTGCCCCCTTGAAGCCCCCTCCGCTCCCGCCTCTCCACCCCACTCATTCCCACCTCTCCCATCACCCGCCCAGATTCACCCAACTTCCATACCCCACACAGCTCATCCTCTCCACGTTGGCCCCGCTTCCGCTCGTTCATGCTGCTGGTGGGTGTTGTCCTGAACGTCCACATTTCCAACGGGTTGAGATCCAAAGTGAAGTATGCCCATGTTGCAGGCACAGGGGAGCGTGTTGGGACGATCTTGCCGCTCCTCCATCACCTTCCAGGCCCCCTCCCCTGGAGTCTCCAGAACCCAGCAAAACAAGAGACACGTCGGGCACGCCCAGAAAACTGATGCGAACCCTGAACAATCTCAATCCCCTCACTCTGCTAGGGTTGAGAGAGTTGCTTGTATACGTGTGAGATGCTGGTTCATCTGCCTCGCACCGACAGGCCTGCTTCTTATCTGCCTGGATTTTATGGCCCGGAACTCGCGCTCCGACAACTCTGTTAATTTCCTCGCCGCGTGCGAGAGTGCCTGCGGCGGGAAGCATCAAATATATTTACATGTTGCGTGCAGGAAGGAGGGGGGAGGAGAAGAAGAGAGGGAAAAGGAGGAGGACGAGGACGAGGGCGAGGAGGACGAGGTGAAGGGGGGGAGAGAGGAATAAGCAGAGGCGGTTGGAGAGGGAGGGGGGGGGGGTGCGGGGAGGACAGAGGAAGGGCGAGGACCAAGATGCTCAAAAGCCTTGAAGATGGAAGCTCGGCCTCCACGTTGAATGTTTTACCTCCGTTCTCGAGGCTCCCGGAGTATTTTTGGCCGCGTGAGTCTTTGCGGGATTTCTGGCGCGCGGGGCGTTGCGTTGTTCGGGCTGGGTGCGGAAGTTTTGATCTGAGCGTGACATCGGTTCTTCTATTTCATTCCTCCAGCCCTCAGGGGGACCTTCACCGCTACGCATGGACGCGACTCGAAAATGTGCGCTGGACCCCAGGGCAGGTCAGGGACCGAATTCCAGGCGGATTTGGGCTGGGAGGGCAGGAAGGTGAATGTATGTATTCTCAGGTGCGCGTGAACAAGGATGCATATGCGCATTTTGGAAAGATTGCCGCGCGGACAGGTATGGCACGGAAGGGGGAATGTGATGAGGTTCTCAGTTCATTGAGTGTTTCTTTCTTCCTCCTACTTTCCCTCTGTATGCACTCTCATCATCTTTTCTTGTTCCTTCCCCTTCCGCTGTTTCACTTGAGATTCATAGAGACGTTCGCTCTGTCTGTCTGTCTGTCTCTCTCTCTCTCTCGCCGTGGGTATTGCCTGCATTCTCACAGCAGCCAAGCGCATTGGCAAATTCACGGCGTCTCCGTTGTGTGAAGTTAGGTCTGCACGGGAGCAGGTTATATTTGGCAAGGCGTTCAGCGAACGATCTCATTGTGCAAGCATTTCGGGCAGTGGGCAGGTTATAACCTGACTGAATTCAAGCATATGTTATTGAGCGCATTAGTCGACAACCCGCCGGCGCTCGCTGATGTTTCTCGAATGTATAGACGCGTGTCTAGTTTCCTTCACACGCAGTGCGATCGTTTAATTGGTTTTGGGTGTGTGCGGTTCATCTGAATGTGAGGGCGCAGACAAAGGGGAAATGAAAGCAGCGGACGATATAGTAATTGCCTGCGTGGTTCTGGCGCCTGCAAACAGAAGTTATGTTTGAGAGGACACTTCTTTGGTCGTGGTTGTTGGTTGCCCCACGTGCATTGTGCAGCGAACAAGTGCGCATTAATTCTGCAGTGTACTTCGGATGACCAGCAGTATGCCAACGTCGATAGTATGTTTGAGCGACGGTCCGTGTTATCATCGCAGTACGTTTGCAGATGGTGTCACATTGGGGCGGGGGAAAGACGGCCACATGCTTTTTTGTTTCAATCGTGCGCCATGGACACCTCAGAAGTGGAGTGCGCGTCCAGACCTCTGCGAGAGAGGCTCCTTCCATGACTTACTTTTTTCCTCGTCAGCCACCACGTCAGGTAGGGCCGTCCACGAATCGATCGATGCGCTGATGCGTGCCGATTTCTGACCAGGGCACCGATCGACTTGAGACTGCGCAGCCCTAGGCGGGCAACTCCCGACCACTGCTGACGGGGTTCGCTCCGACCGACTCGATTTGCGCGAGCGGCCTGATGGATCTGCGACCGAGGGCAGCCTCCCGATATCCGTGCCGTACCCAGAGGATCAAGAACCTTCAAAATAGAGGTCCGACCTCTATTCTGGAGGCGCTTTTCCTCCACTTTGCAGACCTTCCTCTTGAACGGAGGCCCTAGACCCCCCAAACGGAGGTATTCGATCCCCTAGTGCGAGCAGGACACCTTATGTCTTTGCTCTTGGGGGGCAGATGATCGCACAAATCATAAACTCAGGACGTTTTTCCGCTGGCGCGTCGCCCCATGACAAGCACCTTTCCCCGGCGCCCTGGAGGCGCCGCCAAGGGGTGGGAGGAGGGGGCTTGCTGTCAGCCGCAGTCTGCCACCCGCGGTCTTCGGGGGCCTCCAAGAGGGGATGCGCGCCACTGGGGCGTGGTTGCCACGGCCAGGGGCCACGACATCTCCCCGATCTCGTGGCCCCGGCCTCTTCCTTGAGCACGTCCCCTGCCATTCCCCCCCCTCCTCATCCGCGCACATGCCCTGGGGCCATGGCGCGCCCCCCAGCCTCCCTGGCCCTTCTCCTCGCTGCACCCGCGGGCTGCAGGCAGCCGAGGTTTCTGCTCGTGCTCTTGGTGCTGCCCCCGCTGCCGCAGTCGCCTCACGAGCGCCTCCGCGGCCAGAGCCTGCGGCGTCTAGACCGCATGCCTCATGGAAGGACGTGTGATTGGACGTCGGCAAGCGGCTCGCTTTACGACGGACCTCTTCACACAACCCCCCACGACCCAGGTCTCCCGCTCGGGGGGGGGGGGGGGGCGAAGATGGTCGCGCCTGGCACGTCGCGGCATGGGCCAGAGAGCTGCCCTGCTCCGACTTGGCTTCGCAGGGCGCGAGGCGCGAAGCAAGTTGGCCTACGCATCAGGGCAGAAAGGCTGCAGCTGGCAAGATGACAAAGGACAGCTCTGTAAGAACACCCTTGTGCTCGTCGTTTGGGGGGATCTCCATGAGGACTCGGTCCTTCGGCGAAGGGGGCTCGTGTCCTTGGCCCACGCCCCTGGCGGTCACGAGTCGACTGTACCCAGCGGTTCAGATACGAGGCCTTAAGGGAGAGGGGACCCCGAGGACAGGAGAGGGCTCCCGAACTGAGCCTTCGCAGTTTGAAGCCGCCCGCCCTCAGGGCCCCGTTCTTCAGGGCCCCCTCTTCGCCGAGGTATCCCTCCCTGTCTGCACCGTGCCTGCCGCAAGGCGCTCCACGAATGCATCCATGGCCAGAGCCTAGAGTCGCACCCGGAGCTCATGATGCAGTTGCTGACGCTTTGCGCGCACAGGTTGCCGGCGTGTTTCCTCCTCCTCCTCCACCCTCCTGTCCCTCCCTCATCTTCTTTTTCCTCCTCCTCCCCGCCTCCTTCTCCTCCTCCTCTCCTCCTCCTCCTCCTCCTCTCCTCCTCCTCCCCCCCTCCTTCCCTCTCCTCCTCCTCTTCTCCTCCTCCTCCCCTCCTCCTCCTTACCATCATCATCATCATCATCATCATCGATCATCATCATCATCATCCTCATCATCATCATCATCATCATAATCATCATCATCATCATCATCATCATCATTATTATTATTATTATTATTATTATTATTATTATTATTATTATTACTATTAGTATTATTAAAAATAATATTAATATTATTAGTATTATTACTTTTATTATTATTACTATTATTATTGTTATCATTAGTATCATTATTATTATTATTATTAGTATTATTAGTATTATTATTATCATTATTAGTACTATTTTAAATAATAATATTATACGTATTATTATTTGTAGTATTAGTTATGTTTTATTATTAATATTATAAGTATTATTTTCATCATTATTATTATTCCTCTATCCTTCATACTACAGGGGAATACCCCCCCCCCCGGATGGGCATCACAGTGGCTAGAACGGCCCAGGAGAGCCACCTGGACGGCTCAGAAGGCCCCCAGAGGGTGTCCGGATCGGCGCGCGATGCTCCCAAGATTGCCCCAAACAGGCCGAAAACGGCTCCAGAGGGCCCAAGCGGGCTCCAACAGTGCTCAAGACGGCCTCAGTTACCTCCGCAACGGTCCAAGAGGCCCCCCAGACGCCCTAAGAAAGCTCCACGAAGGTCCAGAAGAAAACCCAAAAGGCCTCCGAGACGCCTCCCATGAGAGCCCGAGAAGCCAAATTCATTGTTTTTTTCGATAGTTCTGCCTGTCTCGCTTTCCCGCTCCCCGACACCCCAAGACAGCCCAAGAGGCCCTCGACATTGCCCCAGGCCGGCCCAATAAGGCTCCACATCGCTCCAACACAGCCCAAGATGTTCCCAAGACGGCCCCAAGACGACTCCAGGTAACCCCCGAACGATCCCAAGACGGCCCAAGAGGCATCCAAAACGGCCGAAGAAGCCCTTAAGACGGTTCCAAGAGGAGGCACAGACGGGGTACCCGAACGGGCTTTTCTGGCCCTCGGCCCCGAGAGGCCCCCAGGAGGCACCACGAGCTCCCAAGAGTCTCCCAGGCGGCCCCAAGACTCCCCCTAAGAGGCCGCAGGGAGGCCCCCGGGAGACCCCGAAGAGGCCCCAGAACGGTTCCACTGATGCTTCAAAGCTGTTTCTCAGAGGCCTCAGGAACGGCAGCGACGCTCGTCGTCGTAGCCGTCGTCGTCCGTATCGGCGTCGCCATCGCCGTCGTCGTCGGATGCTCCACGTTCCTCTATTCTCCATTTTGCAGCGACTGAGGTTAGATGACACAAGCATTCTGTATTCTCACGAGTGTGACCACTTTGTTCCACGCGCCCCCCCCCCCGGCTTATTCCGACCGGCCGTGCCTCCGCCCCCTTGTCCTCCGTTCCCCCCCCGCTGACTTTTTCCGACCCGCCGCGCCCCTTCCCCTCTGCCCGTCCCGTGCCCTCCCCCTTTCCTCTTTTATTCCGACCGACCGTGCCCCCTCCTTTCCTTGCTTTCCCCCCCCCCTCCCCTCCCCATTTCCCTTCCCCTCGCCCCCGGCTTATTCCGACCGACCGTGCCCCCTCCCCTTTTCCTGTCCCGTGTTCTCTCCCCGTCCCGTGGCCTTTTTGCCTTGCCCCCCTCTCGCCCCCCCTTCCTGATTCCGACCGACCGTGCCCCCGCCCCCCACCGTCCTCTGTGCCCCCCCTGGTTTTTTTTCCGACCGGCCGTACCCCTTCCCTTGTGCCTGTGCCGTGCCCCCCTTGTCTTATTCCGACCGACCGTGCGTGCCCCCTCCCCTCTCCCTGTCCCGTGCCCTCTCCCCATCCCGTGGCCTGCACCCCCCCCCTGGCTTATCCCCACCGACCGTGCCCCCCTCCTCTCCCTGCCTTCCGCCTCTTCTCCTCCCCGTTTCCCTCCCCCCTCGCCCCCCCCCTGGCTTATTCCGACCGACCGTGCCCCCCTCCTCTCCCTGTCCCGTGCCCCCTCCCCGTCTCGTGGCCTTTTTGCCCTTCCCACCACGAGCATCCCCCCTGGCTTATTCCGACCGACCGTGCCCCCGCCCCCGTCTTCGTGCCGCCCCTTTGGCTATCCGACCGAACCGTGTAACGACCTTTTCTCCCCTTCCCGTGCTTGCCCCTCCGCCTCCTCCGCCCTGCTTCTTCGACCGTGCGTGCCCCCTCTTCTCCTTGCTATGTCCTCCCTCCCCTCCATTTCCCCCCCTCCTCGCCCCCCTTTGCTTATCTTACCGGTCCGTGCCCCCTCCCCTGTTCCTGTTTCCGTGCCCTCTCCCCGTCCGTGGCCTTTTCGCTCCCCCCCCACGAGCAGCTCCCCTTGCTGTTCCCGGCCGACGTGCCCCCAACCCCGTCTTCTTCTGTGCTACCCTTGCTTATTCGACCGTCCTGTACCCCTTTCACCTTGTGCCTGTGCCGTGCCCCCCTTTGTCCTTATTCCGACCGACCGTGCCCCCCCTCCTCTCCTTGCTTTCTGCCCCCTCTTCTTCTTTCCCTCCCCCCATCCGTTCCCCTTATTCCGCCCGACCGCGCTCTCCCCTCCCCTCTCCGTGCCCGTGCCCTGGCCATTCTTATTCCGACGAACCGTGCCCCCTCCTCTCCCTGGCCCCGCCGCCGTCCTCCCCTCCTCTTCCTTCACCCCTCGCCCCATTTTCCCTATTCGGCCCGTGCCCCCTCCCTGCTCCTGTCCCGTGCCCCCCCCCCCGTCTTTATTCCGACCGACCGGCCCCCCCGTCATCTCTTTGTCCTCCGCCCGTCTCTCCTCTCCTTTCTTCCCAAACCCAAACGCACCCCTCTGTCCTCATTCCGCCCAAACCGTGCCCACTCCCCTCTTTCCCTGTCCCGTGCCCTCCCCCCGCCCACTTTTTGTATTTCGACCGAACGTGCCCCCCTCCTCTCCCTGTCCTCCGCCCCTTCCTCCCCTACCCGTTTCCCCCCCCGCGCCCCCCTTGGGCCTTATTCCGACCGACCGTGCCCCCTGGCCTCTCCCCGTCCCGTGCCCTTCTCTGGCTGCTTATCCCGACCGACCGACCGACCGTGCCCCCCACCTCATCCGCCCCGTGGCCCCTTGTCTGCTTCTTCCGACCGACCGACCGACCGTGCCCGTCCCCTCCGCCCCGTGGCCCCCGTCTGCTTATCCCGACCGACCGACCGACCGTGCTTGCCCCCTCTGCCCCGTGGCCCCCGCCGACCGACCGTGCCCCTTCTCCCGTCTCCCTGGCCACCCCCTTGCCCCGCCCGTTCCGCCCCGTGGCCCCCCCGGTTGCCTATTCCGACCGACCGACGGTGCCCCCACCGGTCCAGCCGCGTCGTTGGCCCCCCCCCATGATGGGCCAAAAGCCCCAGGACAGTTCAAGATTGCCCTAAGACAGCCCAAAAGAGCCCCAGACGGGCCCACACAAGACCCCCAATAAGCCCCAGAGACGCCCAATAGCACCATGGCCCCGAGGAGTCATAGAGATGCCACTAGCTCACTGTGGAATAACAAATTCTTCAGGCCATAGCTCAGCGTGTCGCAGCACTCGCGCGCTTCCCCGAAACTACCACAGGTTGGCGCCACCTCCATCTTCCAGTGTCCCACATCCGTAATTGTATGATCCTTGGCACGCGTGACCCTGTGTGTGTCACCATGATCGTTAGTCTTCTTAATATTAGCATTGCTAATATTATTATGATCATTGTCCACCCTCCTGCTCCTCATCCGTTCCTTCTGATCATCCCTCTCCTCTGTCCTCCTCTCCCGATCCTTCGTCCTCGTCCCTCATTCCTCCTCATCCTCCCCCTCTCTCCCCCCTCCCTTTGCCGTCATTGTCGTCCCCGTCTTCCCTCGCCCACCTCAGTTCTCGCCCTCGTCTGGATCGCGGGTGAGCTGCAGCCCAGAGGACCGAAACCCTAGAGGAGAGACCCCCAGAATGAGGGAAAGAACACCTCAGCATGGAGGGGCGAGCGCCCGTTTTGGAAGTCTCCAGTCCTTTTGGAGGCCTGTGGTCAGGGGCAATGCGAGGGGGATAGGTTCAGGGGAGAATTCATCTACCCCCAATCGCCCGTTGATCGCCGATAGTGGCCTCTTGGCCTATCGATCTATCGGCGGTGTATCGTCGATTCCAGCTCGATGCATCCCCCCTTTAGCTGGTCCGCTCCTGACGTTCCACAGGTTGGGGTTCTTCTCTGATGTAATTTGTGGTGGCATGTGCCCTTAGATGAATTTGGGGCTCATCTGTGATCGGTGCCGACGAGCGCGAGGCAGGCCCAAAACCGAGGACAATGACGACGACGACGACGACGACGACGACGACGGCGGCGGCGGCGACGGCGGCGGCGAAGGCAACGGCGACGGCGACGGTCGCGACGACGGCGACGACGACGTCAGCGAAAAGGCGGAGGCGGCAGGTGCGGCGGCGGCGGGTCCGGCGGCAGCGGGTGCGGCGGGCGTGACTTGTGGCTGGCCGTGCGCTTGGGCCGCAGGCTGAGCAGGACGACGAAGGAGCGCCACGTGGTGAAGCACTTCGACGGCCGCCGGGAGGGGGGCGCGTGGCACCCCTCATCGTCTTCGCACTCGGGCGTTGGCGGGCTGAGCCAACGGCAGCTGGCCTTTGATGGGGGGGCCCTGGTCGCCTCGGAGAAGTGGCGCGTCGGGGCCCACAGGAGGGCTCCAGGGGCCGTGCGTTTCTCTGAGTTGCCGTTGTCTCTCAGAGCGTGAATTACCTGCCCCGCTTTCGCTTCCAGGCAAAACCAAGCCATACCACGCGCCTCCTCGTCAAGCGGCCTGACCAGTACAGGCTGCAATTTGGCATCGTTTGGTATCTCTTGGAAGCGAGGGTGGTCAAAAGCAAGGTAGGTTTGTTTTCCACCTAGTCTCAGCGCGCCCTGCGCCGAGGGATGGGGGGCGCGTGGCACCCCCCCGTCTGCTTCGCGCTCGGAGGAGGGCGAGTCGGGACAACGGTGGTCCCCATTGTCCTCCCCTCCCGTCATCCTCATTCCGTCTCTACCCCTCCTCCCCCCCTTCGTCCCCCCATACCCCATCCCCCTCTCCTGCCATCCCCTCCCCGCCTTCCTGCCTCCCTCTCTTCCCCCACCATCCCCAAGACACCCTGAAACCTTGCGTAAAACAACGTAACTCCCAGAACCTCTTCTTCCTCCCGGAGCTCCCATTCCTCCTCCACCTCCTCCTCCTCGTCATCACAATCATCATCATCAGCAGCAGCAGCAGAATCAGCAGCAGCAGCAGCATCATCAGCATCATCCTCCTCCTCCTCCTCCTCCTCCTCCTCCTCCTCCTCCTCCTCCTCCATCATCATCATCATCATCATCATCATCATCATCATCATCATCATCATTATTATCATCTTCCTTCCTTCCTTCCTCCCTCTCTTCCTTCCTCCCTTCGTCCTTTCCTTCCTTCCTTCCTTCCTTCTTCCCTTCCTTCCTTCCTTCATTCCGTCCTTCCTCCATTTCTTCTCGATGGGAAAAGCAGCTCGTGGTGTGCGCAAGGCCAGACGGCACCTTCGAATGCTCCTCGGCCAGGCGTGATGGAGGCCGTCTGGCGTCGCCGCACGCTGATGGGCCCGGTCCAGCTTCGCTGGAACGGGAGAGAAGTTGAGGGAGCGGAAGGTTGAGGACCCCTTCTCTTTATCTTCCTGCCTGTCCTCCTCCCTCATGGTATTTCTGCTCCTCCTCTCCTTTTGTCTTCTCCTCCCCCTCCTCTTCATCCTCCTCCGTTCTCCTCCTCTTCTCGTCCTCTCGCATCCCCAGCATAGTTGCGCTCGGACGGGGCAATGGGCTCATCATCTCAAACTGTCGACGGTCGCTCGGACTAGTAGGCCGCCGAAGAGAGCAGCATGCCGAGGGCTCCATTCGATTGGTATCTCTACACGCACGTTTTGCATCTCTATTACACAAATAAACTGAGACTTCGCGAGTTGATTCGCTTGAAACAGGTTGACCTACGTATGGATCTGGGCTTGCGTGGTGCATGCTGCGGGCACGATTGTTGACTTCTGGCGTGTGTGACCAAGAAAAGTGGTTAGATCAGTTCCTCATTGTCCACGTGATCAGTCCCTGCATCCGGTCGCCATCGGAATGGCATGAGGCCCGTGAGGGCGACTTTCGTCGGCGCAGTTCCTCGAATATTTGCTTGCGGGGCGGTTTTTTTAACAAAGGCACAATCAAAAGACGCCGTGCACGTGTCTGCAGCCACGCCGATGTTGGCCTACACGAAAGACCAGAGAGGGACCGACGCCGCGAGACCAGAAATGACCCATCGCAGATCGGACACGGCCGACATTGGCGAGCTCAAAAACCCTTCTCGTCGGCCGTGGTGGCGGCAAGCTCTTGGATGTAGTCGTGGTTCCAGATTGAGCGGTTCGGGTTTCGTTCTGGGAGTGGATTCGAAGGAAGACTCTTGGCACCCGTAGTCGACAGCACAGCGAATTACTCTAGTCTCCTGGTCTAAGCAGAGTGCAAATAAGAAGGTTCCCGTCGTCACGCAGAGGAATCTAGAAGGTCGTGAACAGAAGCCCTGGGGGAGAAAGCGGCATGACTAAGTGAAGCTCGACTGGCCAACGAGACAATGGAGTCGACCAGATGGGAACAGCTTCGACTGAATGGACGAAAAAGGCAAAGAGAATACGGCGAGCAACCAAAGCTAGCAATCGCTGCACCAGGTGTTGGATCCCCTGTGGAGGTCCCTAGAGGCCTCTGGGCGTAAGGCGTTAATTCACCGCGAGACTCGAATCCCGTTGTCGTCGTCGTCATCGTCGTCGTCCGTCGGACCCAGACATCCGATGATATAACCTTTCAATCCGCGCTCCCCTGAGGTCTGGGCAAGTTCCCCAGGGTCAGCTTGTCTTCCCAACCCCGTTTTCGATGGCCCCGAGTCCCGAAGAGGGCCCCCTGAGGCCGAGGTGGAGGAAAGGCTCGGGGGCTCAAGAGACGGGGGTGAATGCAAACGGCTTCGGTCAGAGCGCCGCGCCGGATCTTGCAGGATCCTGCAGAGCCAGGGGTGCATTGACCCGGTGCAGGATCCTTCAAGGCCCTCAAGGCCTGACTGACCCGGGTTTGCACTGACCCGGGTCGGTGCGTCCCCGCATGGCGCCAAGCTAGAAAAAAGCAATCCGCCGGATGCCTTGCGCACCCTGAGATCCCTTCACGGCGATCTGGCCCCTGAGCGCACGGCGGCGCCGCCCAGGGAGGCGAGGACCGCTGAACCGAAGGACCTTGCTGCGTCAGCACATCGAAGTCCCTCGGTTCAGCACGGCAGGCTCGCATCGTGTCGACGCCGCGGCGACCCCGCCGCGGGTCTTCGAACCGTGCAAGATTGAACGAGCCACGCAGCGTCGGAAAGCCAACGCTGGGGTCGTCACGGCACGAACTTGCCGTGATCCTGTCGGCTCCACGTGAGAGTGGCCCTTCGCTGGAGTGACCTCGCGGCTCTCGCGGGACGCTGGGGGGCCACATCCGAGCACGCAGGCCGCCACCGTCGCACAGCGCGCAGCGGTCGGCAAGCCGCGCACCGGAGGCTCACATCCTGGCCCAGGGCCCCTCCTGCGTGCGGCCGATCCTGGCCTCCCAGGGCCCGCGCGCTGCTCCTCGGGGCCCCGCGGCCGCCGAGCCGAGGCCAGAACCACGCCTCCCGCCCTGGGCACGGTGGACGGGGGGGCGCGGGCACCCGCCCACCGCTTCGGGGGGGGGGGGGGACGGGGGGCCGAGGCCTGCCGTACAGATGTCGCTGCTACATGTGCGTCCGCGAGGCCTCCCGGCGCCGCCCCGCGCGTCGGAGGATCGGGCGTTGGGTCACGGCGGGGCGATAGATGGGGGGAGGAAGGAAAGTGCACATCTCGTACCCGAAAGGGGGCCCTGGAGGGACCCCCCAGGGCCCAAGACTGAGGACGCAGGGTGCAAGGCTTCTCCCCCACACCTCCCCCCCACTCATCGCCCCCCAGTAGGCAACGCCCGAAGAGGAGGAGAAGTTGCCGATGTTCGAAGAAGAAACAGCTGCATAAACATAAAACTTTCGGCGGAGCTCCGCACGGACCTCCGAGAGACATTATGTGTATGCTGTTCTGTGCCTCCAGATGCTGGTGCTCGTCCTGGAGAGCCTTCGTCGCCACGGCTGGATTATCCTCGAGGTTCTGGCCATAAACATAAACTTTCGGCGGAGTTCCGCGCGGACCTCCGAGAGAAATTATGTGTATGCTGTTTTGTTCCAGATGCTGGTGCTCGTCCTGGAGAGCCTTCGTCGCAACGGCTGGATTATCCTCGAGGTTCTGGCCAGGATGCACCCCAGGAGAGGTCCGGGAACCAGCGGCGTCGGTATTTTTTCCGAGTGGGCCACGAGAAGCGTGCCATGAAAAGCCCTCTTGTCGTGCTCTTGCCCTCCTCCTGGCCTCTTTGCCCCTCGGCAGGGCATGCAGGAGGAGATTGATGATCGTCTCATTTGGGGCTCCGTTCCGCGGAGGCCACCCAGGGAGGGGGGCGCCCTGCAGAGGAGGGATCTTGCGCAGAAGTGGTGTTACGGTGATTCTCCGTGTTCGACCTCCCGAAGCCCTTGCCCCGGGAGGCCGTGAGAAAACACCTCGGGATGAGAGGCCGGCCCCAGGGTCCAGGGCATGTTTCCTTCTGCGCGTACGTTTTTTTTTTTTTCAATCGCAGAAGAAAGGCGGGCGCGGAAGAGTGGCAAGATAATTCTTCACGCTTCGCGAATCCCCACCAGTCCCACGGCGGGCGCCGCCTTTGAGCTCTTGCTACTGCACAAGTGGTATATCCTTTGGCAGTGTTCTTCGGCCCTCCCGCAGGGTGGTCCGTGGTGCTCGACCACTGCTTGCAGCTGTATCCCCCCGGCTTTCAGAGTCAGGTAGTTGCAGGTTGTGGACCCGGAAGACAGGGCCGCCGTTTCCTTGCATAGGTCGGTCGCTCATGCCCGAGTACTTCCATGAGGCCATGTGAGTGAGGCGATCCTCGGTTCCCCCCCTCTCCTGTCCTCGCGTGCCCTCGCGCCCGCCGCCTTTCCCCGTTCCTTCGCCTCCTCGTCGTGTTGGACGGTGCGGCCTCACTGGCCCCTCCGTGCCGCCACAACGCGGCGTGACCCACGCCCTTACGCGCTGTTCGGTACGGACTGAGCTGGCGCCACTGTGCGGTTTCTCCTCCGTCAGTTTCCTTTGATGCCTGCGTCCCCGCTTCCGGGTCGCCTGCGTCTTAATGGGGGGCATTTTGTCCCTGGCACGTGCACCCGCTGCGTCGGCCTATGCGCCGTCGCCGCTAATTACCTCGCCCTCTGCCCCAGCCGAGACCGTCCCGCTTCCTGGATCTGTCTTTGGAGCCGCCAATCAAAAAAATAATCCCCACCAGACCAGCCCCACCTGCCGCTGCTGCACCACAGCTGCCGTTTCTGAGCGTTGGCCTGGCGGGCTCGCGTGGCACTTAGTAGCTAACTAGGCTGACCCGTGCCCCGGACCCCCTTTTCGCCGCCTGCCCTCTGCTGCGCGGCCGCGACCCAACAAAAAAATCCCCACCAGACCATTCAGAAGCCCTGCCCATGAGAGCTGACGGGAAAAGGAACGAAGAGACAAATATAGTGAAACAGAGCGTGCAAGGAGAGGAGAGAAAGGAGGGTGTTGAGCCATATTGGAGGCTATCTTGGGGCATCGGAGGCCTTCTTGGAGCTACGGGGCTGTATTGGGGGATATTGGGGTCCCCTTGGAGCTCTGTTGGGGCATCTTGGGGCCCTCTTGGGGCTCTTTGGGAGAGTCTTGGAGCCCTCATGGGGCCCTCTTGGAGCTCTCTTGGGGCCCTCTTCGGAGCTATGGAGCGACTCCTGGGGCCATCGATCAAGGAGGGGGTCATCGATTTCCTTCCCTCCTCGGGAGCCATCGAAATAGCCCTTTGGGGCCCTCTTGGGGCGAGCTTGGGCGCTCTTGGGGCAGTTTTGAGGGCCTCTTGGGCCCTTCTTGGAGCTCTCTTGGGCTATATTAGGGCCATCTTGAGGCTTCGAAAGCGCATCGGAAGCGAAAAGGCGAGAAGGCGAGGGCCTCTTGGGGACGTTTTGGGCCGTCTTGGGGCGCTCTGACGCCGTCTGGCTCCTTCGGAGGCCATCTTGGAGGCCTCCCGCGGCCGCTTTGGGGCTCTCTTGAAGTCCTCTTGGGGCGTCTTGGGGTCTCTCTTGGACCGTCTCGGGGGCCTCTTTTGGCCGGCTCGGGGCCCTCTTGGGCCTCTTGGGGCCCCCTTGAGGGCCTCTTGGGCCGTCATCGGGCCTTCTTGGAGGCTGCTCGCGCCGTCATGGCCCTCCGAGAGCCGAAAAAGGCGAGAACGCTAAAATCCTTCAAAACCATTGGAAAATCAATGGTTTTGGCCTCTGGAGGCGCTCTTGGGGGTCCTCTTGGGGCCCATTTGGGCCGTCTTGGGGGCCTCATGGGCCACACTGAAATCTTCCCGCCGCGGCAACGCAGCCTTGCTATGCCTCGCCTGCCAGAAGCCTTAATGCACAGTCAGGTGGCCGTCGCCTCCTTGCATCCTCCTCCCCCGACGAACCACCTGCTCCGCATCGCCTCCGACGCCTTCTTCGCTTGTCCCCAGCCATCGCCTTACATCGGCGAGTTCGCCGCCTGCTGTGCCCGCGCTATCGCCCGAGCCCTTGGCGACCGCACCCACGAACAAAAACAGTATGGGAAGAGAAGACGCGCAGTCCAGTCGATGGCTCTCTCGCCTTCCTTGTCGGAGCCCAGCACGTGCAGTAAGGATGCCGTTGTGGAGCCGTGCCGTTCGGCCCGCCCCAAGAACGTGCTATCGTGTACGAGTACGCAGGCGTCTGCATGGTTTCTCGAGGCCGTGTGCGTGTGCGCGTGCTTATTAGTTGATTGTCTTTACCGTGTTGTATGTGTTGCTTTTGTGATTGTGGATTGCGTGTCAGTTTGTATGTGTACCTTCTTGGCCAAGCCAAGAGTTCGCATACACCGCTCCTGGACCCAGAATGGACCCAGCTGGGACTGGCGCGGCGTATGCATCGCGCCCCCTATAGGTCATTGAGATAGGGACCGATAGGGAACACAGAACACAAAAAGCACACAAACATGGATATTCGGACGTCCGCGAGCGCTTCCTCCGCCGGCGCTGGACCCTTCCACACACCTCCTCAGTATTTCGACGTCCAGCTCCCGGCTTGCAACCATGAAGATTTCCGTGTGAGGCAGGGTCCCGTAGGGCTTTAGAAGCTCAAGCTTGGTGCGCCCTGCCCAAACGGGAACGGGCACACGAGCCTCGCCTCACGAGCCGCGCCTCGTTCGCTCGCGCTCCCCCCTGCGCACTCCTCGCGCGCTGGAACGCGGCGCCGTGCGGGGAGGGGGAGGCGGGGGGGGTGCAGAAGCTGCCCGCGGACGTCTGGAGGTTTGTGTCTATGTGCCTGTCACATGCGTTCTCTGCTGGGCTAATTTGGATTGTCGGTCGCTGCGACCGACTTTCGAAGAACGTCTTGTAGGAGCCTGACGCTGGCGTATTTCAAGCGCTTACTTACTCCAAGACCTAAGGGGCCTCAACTGCTCCGTACTCTCCGGGAGACGGGCCAGGACCCAGTCAACGCTTAACGTTTTCCCGTGTGTCTACGGAAATTTCCCTACCGACGTGCATCTTTCTACCACCCCCTGGATTAAAAAGTCCGGATCGGCACTGCAGGCCCCCTTGCATCGTCGCTCCCCGAGAGGTAAACATGTCTGGCAAGAAGTACCAAGCAGAATCGCAACTTCCAAGCAACATAACTGGGACCTGAAATTTATTTGCGAGGAAGTCCCAAGCGAAATCGCCAACTTCCGGTCGCCACTGAGAATTTCCGGTCGCCTGAAAAGCGTCCGGAAATGTTCTTGGAGGAAGTATTAGGTGGAATGCGGATTTCCAGTCGTTACCCCATTTGGCGATTATAATATTAGAAGGGGTGAGGATGGACTGGAAATGTAACCATGGCGGCCCCTGCAACATTGTACCAGGGCCCCGTGGCCTAACGGGAGCCGAACATCAAGGCTTATTCCCCGACCTCTGCGGTCCGGACTTTTCATTCCAGGGGGTTGTAGTACGTATGAACGACATTACTGGCATGATTTGTCACTTGTTAGTAAAGATGTGCGAGGAAAAAGACCTTGTCGACAGCACCATCGGGCCTTCAGAGTGTCTTTCTGGGTTGGCTTCGGGATGTAAAAGGAGTAACGACTTTGAGAGGTGAGATGGGCAGCCGGGTTGGAGCAGTTGTCATGCATCAGAATTTGAAAGGGACCGTGAGTCCGGAACGGACCGCCAATGGTCGTTCGATGTCGACCAATGAGGTTTTTATATGAGGGGGTTGTTGAGATTCTAACTTGCACGACCGCTTCTGGCAAGGTCTTGAGGAATTTCGCATCGAGCTTGTCGTGCGAACCCACCGCGGTGCAGCCGCCCCACTCCGAAAAAGAGTCCCGCTTGTGTGCGCACCATGTTCGCCCCAAGCCTCAGCGGCGCAAGACATCGAGGAATGCGTGCTGCGCACTTGGATTCAATGTCCCACCCGCTTTCTTGGGAAACAATCGTTGAGAGTCTTCGGCCGCGGCCAAAAGCAGTGACCAACCCCACCCTACCTTTGCAGACCAGCTACGTCCTTGGCGCAGGGTGCTGATCAATTGTCTCGCCCCCCCTCGTTCAGGCCAGCACGTTCGCGGAGTCCTTGACGCAAGGCAGTGAATAATTGTCGCACCTTGCAGAACGAAACACCACAGAACACGGTTGCCCATTCAGGGGGACGTCCGCGTTCCACGCTTTTGCTTCAGGCAGAGCGAACATCTTCGGGGAATCTACGGGGCGAGCCGCCGTCCCCTTGTGCCTTCGGGCCCGGTCTTCCCAGAGGGGGGCCCCATGGGAATTGCCGAGTACGGCGTTTTCAATGCGGGCCCCCACTTTGTCGCGAACCGCCGCGCGCTCTGGAAAAAGGGCCCCGCGGCGCCAGCCGTCCGATCGTATGCGGAGCCCGCCCTGTCGCGAGCTGGCGCGCGATCCAAGAACACGTTACGCGACGTCGGCCGTCTGATTGCGAAGGCCTTGCGGCCGGTGCCGCCGACCCTGAAGATGACGAAGATGAAAACGAGGGTGAGGAGGAGGAGGAGGAGGAGGTAAAGGAGGAGCAAGAGGAGGGGAGCCAGGGGGGGGAGGAGGAGGAGGAGGAGGAGGAGAAGGAGGAGGAGGAGGAGGAGGAGGAGGAGGAGGAGGCCGTCTGATTTTTCTGCGGGCCCGTTCCTGACCAGAGGTGTTTCGGGAAGGTCGAAGCCCTAAGATGCCGCTACGCTGGTCCCGGGCAGGCTGTGCTGCCCGGCCGAAGGGGACGAGGAGGAGAGAAGCAGGCAGACGACGACGAACGCCCAGGCGGGAGGCCAGGGCCAGCGGGGCGGGCGGGCAGGGCAGGCAGGAGAGGGGCCAGGCGGAGACAGTAGGCAGGGAGCAGCCTTCATTATAGCCTTCGTTGAGAGACAGCCCTGGGGAAGAGTCCTGTTATGTATTCCAGGGGGGCGCATGTACTCGATCTCTTCCCGGGAGGTGTCGCGGGGAAACCAACAATCGCGCCCTTCGTGTTTTGATGTATGTTTCGCTTGGCATCCGCTTTAATCCATAACCGCATGCCGATGATAATAAAGGGACCCCCCCCCTTCAGTGTTTAGAGTTGATTATCGTCGCCCTATACAAAATTCAATTTGGGCGGCGAGCGCTGAGGCCGAACTTCATTATCACCTCGAAACGCTATGTTGAGATAGCAACATCAAGCGATGTTGATATAGCAACATCAAGCGAAGCGATCACACTTTTTCAGGATGTGTCAAGCGAAACCAATAGTTTTGGGAGGCAGACTCAAACGAAACGAGCAATGTTTCAAGGATGTCTCAAGCGAAACCAGAAATCAGCAAGTTGTTTCTTGTTATTTATATGTTTTATTATCTTCCTTTTTATATATGTATCTATCCCCGCGCGCGCCTGAACTTTTATCTCTGGGGTTGATTATCCATGGAAAGGGGAGCACATGAGCTACCTACCCTACATGAGCACTTTAAAAAATCAATTTTCATAAAGCGTTTGTAAATTAAAATTGATAGATTTGGAACTTTCCATTTTTCCGTTCTTCTTCTCTTCTTATTATTCTCTTATTCTTCTCTTATTATTATTATTATGTTTTCCTCTTCTTATGTTATAGTTCTATCTGTCCTCACGCTCGCCTGAACTTTTTTATCCCTGGGGTTGATTATCCATGGAAAATGAAGCACATGAGCTACCCTACACTAGCACTTAAACAAATCAATTTTCATAAAGCGTTTGTAAATTAACATTGATAGATTTGGAACTTTGGATTGTTCCTTTCTTCGTCCTCTTCTTATTATCCTCTTCTTCTAGGATGTCTCAAAACGTGCTCGGCTTGGTCTCCTCTTGATCATCTCTTACTTCGAGATTCTGCTGAGGTCTGCTGGGCTACTTTTATTATCTCTCCCTGAACCCCGAACTTTATTATCCCCTAGTGTTTATTCTCACGGGCATGAGGTTACCTCCTCGTTACTTCCCATCCCTATTAACTTGTGCTGTTGGGCACCCTCGACGGGCATGTCATGTCTTCTCGAGATCGGTGCACGCGCGCCCTCTTGCATACCGAGAGGTCTCGTTCATGTCCAAGCAGATGCTGGGCGAAATGCTGTTCCCGATGGCCACTGGGCAGGGGGAGCGCGGCTGAAGCGACCGCGGTCCGTCAGACCCGAAGCTAGCAGCAAGGATGGAGTTTCGCGCGCAAGACCAAGCGGGTCATGGAGCGTGGATCAGCGCAGGGCATGCTGTCCCATGGCGTTGCCGCGCTTGCCCGTCGCATGCAGGCGGCTTTGACTCTTTCTCTCTCTCTCTCTCTCGTCGCTTGGGCGGAGGAGGGGCAGCGCACGGAACGTCCAAAGGTACGGTTCTCCAGCCCTTCGGAGGGTGGGGCTTGGGCACGCTACGGACGCATTCTGGCAGCACTCTGGCCACGTCGGCACCGCTCCGTCTTCTCGGGCGTCCACCCGATCCGTGGTGCGGCAGCGTCTGCGTGGTCGTCTCGAGGCACCCTGGGCAGAGCAGGCTAGAGGCGCGACTGGGAGGCTTCGGCTGAGGTGCCGCGCGCGTCCGCCGAGAGTCGTGCCCGAACACGCGCTGCGCGGCGGATCAGATGAGGGTGCGCGGTCTGGGGATGTTGGGGGTTGGCCCTGAGGAGGAGGACGACGGAGAAGGAGGACTAGGAGGGAGAGGGAAGAGGATGAAGAGGAGGAGGAGGAAGAGGAGGAGGAGTGAGCGGCCGGATTGAACGGGCCAGAAGTGCTGAACATACAATTTGAAAGCGGAAGATGTACGCGGCACAAGGCGTCAGAAAGAAAGAGGAGGGATGAGGAGGTGGAGGAGGAGGAGGAGGAGGGGGAGGAGGCGACCAGGGCAGATTCCCTTTTGTTTTGTGTTCCTCTGTCGGGCACATGTTGGCATGGCCGTGGGGTCTCGGGGGCCTTCCAGGGGAGCGGCTTTAGTATCTTGGAGAGATCTTGGTGGACCCAGCGGCTCCCAAGCATCCACTTGTACAAGTTGGACTGCCCTTTCTAGAAGGTTCTCCATTCGCTACGGACAGACGAAGATCATATGAGCAGCATCTCCAAACGCGAACATTTGAGCGAGCGAACGAAACAGCGCCATACGCCAAACGCGCGTGGGCAAGACAATGTGGCGAGCGTGCTGGCGACGCCAAACGCGTCATCCATTGGACAGGAACCGCGCCAAACGCGCGACAAGACAGCGACGACGCGCCAAATGTGCGCTGGAAGGACGAGGCAGTCACGAAAGATTCCACGGTCTCGAAACAAGGGCTCAGAAGTGTATGCAATTCGGCTGTCCACTCCTGTCTGGGCCGCTCCCGCTTACGCTCGCATGCCCGCATCGCAGGGAAGACGGTGTCTGGCATGAACGTTGGCTTCCGCAACACGCGATCGCTCGGATATCGGCCAATGTTCCCAAATAGTTCGTAGCTGCTGTTCAACAATTTGGAGCTGTGCGGCGCCTGTTCGCTTTTTTCCAACACAGATTTGTTGTAGACCCTGGAAATGAACGCCGGAGGTATTTGTAGCATTTGTCTTATACATTTGGCCTGGAAGTTGTCGAGCCGCTTCCTGTCGGCTTTGGTCAACCACGCCGAGCTGAGGGAATACATGACCTTGCTCAAGATCATCGCGTCGAAGATCACCAGTTTTCTTTTGACACTGATCGAAGTATGTTTCCAAACTTTACAATACCTTGAGAACTCGCCCCACGTAGCCCCCACTCTACGATTCAGCTCCCCGGGTATTCTTCCAGTGTTGCTGCTTATAGCTCTCAGGTAGGCATGACCATCGTTTGGTTATATGAGCGCTTCGTCAGGCGAGTACAACTCTATGTCGTTCTGCACATGTAACACTTGAAATTTGTCCCAATGTAATTCCATGCCAGAGTTACCTCCTGAAGTGGCGATTGCGCTCAGCAGCTCCTGCATGTGATCCTGGTGCTTGCCAGCGATCAGAATGGCGTCCGCATACAGTAAAACCGATAGATCGCCCATTTGGAATGCTGCCTTGGCTGGGTCGCTCAACGACGCGGCTGCGTCTTGTATCATCATTGTCGTCACCATTACAAACAAGAACGGGGACAAGGGGCACCCTTGCGCGATGCCAGACCTCTGCTGCCTCTCACTCGACTTCGGACCCCCATCGGCCACGCAGAAGCTCCTATTGGTATGAATGTGTTTGATAATTTCGAGAAGCCGAGCAGGGAGCCCAAACCTCTGCAACAATACTAAAATGACCTCCACATTGATTGAATCGAATGCCTTTTTCCAATCTGACGCAACGAAAGTGGTCCCTGCTTTTGTCCCGGCGCTCGCTAGTTTACTGTACCGGCGGACCACGTGGATAGCGTGTGTCGTGCCCCACCCTCGGCCGAAACCGAATTGAGTAGCAGCGAGCCAGTCTTCTGCCCAAGCGTTCTGTAGCCGCCGCAATAGCAAATTTGCACCACTTTGTGTACGCTACGCACAATAAGCTGATCGGTCTTTAATTGTCGCAGAAGTGCACTGGCCCTTTGTTGTTGCAAATCGTACTCACCAAAGAATGTCGCCAGGCGCGCGGAACCGATTCTTTCAGCCAACATGTGTTGCATAATTTTGTGAGCCACTGTAGCCCCCCAGGCGTTTGCGCCACTGCTTTCCAATATTCCGGCGGGATATCGCCGGGCCCGCCTGTTTTCGTTTTTGTCCCATTTCAGTTTTTGCACCATTTTCCCAACTTCCTGCGCAGAGAACTCCCCGTCTTTCACCGGCAATGTCGGCCCCAAAGGCTCTGTTGATGTTATCTCCGCAGGCCGTATTTTCCATTGTCCTTGCTCCGAGACTGTTGCCATAGTGTCCGCTCCTTTGTTGCTCTCCACCAACTTTTCGGATCTTCCCGGCTATGTTTTTGCAATCTCTTTCGTTTGCGTTGACACCCCTGGCAAAAGGTACGGATTGCATCCCAATGTCCATTAGCAATGTGTCATTCGGTCCAAGCGGTCTTGTCCATTTTGCATGATATTTCCGCATTCTATTTGAAAAATTAGTTTATCCTCCTGTTTGTTGTCCGCCTGTCTGGCGAGAGTCCGTTTTTCTATCAAGTCAAGTGTGCGTTGACTAATCCACGGCCTTTTCCTTTCCGCGGGAGCTGGCGGAAACACGATATTCGTATCAGAGTATATCGCTCGTAGCGTTCGGTCCCGGAGAGCTTCAGCACTTGGACGCGAATGTCGTCGAGTTTCTTCTGTGGCAAGTGTCAGCGTACATGTGACGAGATAGTGATAGTAGCAAGAGGTATCTTCCGATGGTTTCGCAGACACCATATCTGAACGAGAGTAGTATATCGACACAGCAGATGCCCCAATGCCTCCGCTGACCCTACGGCACAGCTGTTAGTTTTGAGCTCTCTCTGGGCGCATTCAGAGCATGTTATGTTGATAGTCGGCCGGCCCTCCTTCCAGATAGTTCCAATAATGGGGGGTCCTCGCTTGTTGCCGTCATAGGTTTCAATGTGGAGCGTCCCCGGCTTACCCAGCTGGTACAGGGGAGTTTTGCGCGGCGCATGGAATTATGCGAGGGATACGTCGCGGTATGTCTGACGTAGAACGTTCGCTCAAGAGCTCCAGCGACCCCAAGGGGGCCGACCACGAGTGGTTCATTGGCGTGTTCGCGCGCAGATCATGGGGATGTCTCGAGCGGCTTTCAGGAGGTAAACGTGCGTTTTTTCCTGAGTCCGATATTCTTGGCAATGTAGCATCCGCTGAAGTTGGGCACTCCAAGGGGGAGCCGACCAAGGGTGTTTGATGGGCCCGTTCGCGCCAATATTATGGGGTGTCTCGAGCGGTTCGCTTCGTTTGAGGTGCGCATGTCTTTTTTCAGAGTCCCATAATCTCCGCCATGTAGCAGGCGTGGCAGAGCCGACAAAGAGCGTGTCACGGGCCCATTCGAGCGGCTCGCTTGTTTCAGGAGGTGGACGTGTGTCTTTTCAGAGTTCGATGATCCTGGCGAAGTAGCATCCGTAGCACTTGGGAACCCCAAGGGAGAGTCGACCGAGGGTGTTTCATGGGCCCGTCCGTGCCCGTATTGTGGGGGTGTTTCGAACGGCCCGCTTGCTTTCGGAGGTGGCATCAGACCTTGGTGATCCTCGCGATGTCGGTCAAACCACCGAGAGCGTAGCCACCGCGTACGGCTTCCAATTGCACGGGGGGATAGGAGGTGGAGGAGGAAGAGAACGTGGAGGAGGAGCGGGGTCGCCAGGGCTGGAAGTTGAGAGCTCCCAAGGCTGATGGGGAGGAGGGGGAGTGCACCCCGGGTGAGTGCCGGGGTCGCCCAGGGCAACGGCACGACAGGCAAGGACAGGGGTTACAAGGGTGAGGGGAGGAGAAGAAGGGGCGGCCAGTTGGGGGGAGGTGCAGAAGATCTGCCCCGACAACGCGAACAAGATTACAGGCAGCAACGCATGGATTGACCTGTGAGCAACTTGTGCTGTTTCTTTATGACAGCAGGACGTCTTCTATGGCCACGAACCGAGTGTCTAGTATGTTTGAGTGCGGCTTGATTGGCACTGCTGATCGGTGATTTGAGCAATCCCTGGTCCTAAAGTTTCAGCAGGACGAGCCGTCCAGATGACCGGGAGCTGAAGAGCGGACCCGAATTCGAGTTCATGTCACGCGCGCATCAAGATTCGGGAGCGAAAAAGAGTGCCAATGATATGTTGGCGTTGGGAGCCCGTCCGCGTGTTGCTCGGTCGCTGTTGTCCGATAGCCCGGTGTCTTCAGCAGGAACGCGTTGGTGGGTTCCCCACGGCAGCGTGTGTCATTGGTACTGTTTCCACCCCGCAGAAGATCGGACGTCTTCCCCGTCCCTCCCCCCCTCCCCGCAGGGAGCTCTCTGGAGGATGGGCCAGCGCTCCCCAGAGCCCAGGTCTTCGGGGTGGACGCATCCCCCCCCCCCCCCCGAGGCGCACCAGCCTATCCGTGCCGATGGCGCCAGGACTCGCTTTAGTGGGAGCGCAGTGTGCACCACTCGGGAGCAACGTGAGGACAGGCTCAGGGGGGAGCGCATCAACCCACAATGGCCCATTCATCTCCGATGGAGGCTCGATAGCCCACCCCGCCCAGGTACGTGCGGGCTCGCTATCGGGGGCCTGTCGCCGATCCGTCGGCGATGCATCGCCGATTCCAGGCCGATGATTCCCCCTTTTTGCCATTCCCTCATATCGCTCCCCCTTGACGCAGCGTGCACCGCGTCCATATTACATTCTACAGCAAAACAACGCTTCAGGGCTAAGCGTGCGGCACCCTCAGCAACCCTGCGCATCCGGGGTGTTCTACACTCGCACGGCGGGCAAGATTCTGAGGTTTGCGCCACACCGCCGGCCCCTTGGGGGCAAGGGTGAGGAGCGCGCGTGGGCGTGGATGCGTGGGAGGAACTGGAAGAGAAGGTGTAGATGAGGAGGGTGGGGAGGGGAAGGGGGGCGAGGACGAAGAGGCACATGCTTGGGAAATTTCACTTCGCGCGGCAGGCATGATCATAGAGTTGGACAACGCGGAGTTGGTCCCCCTGTTCGAGTTCGAGAGCGCGCTCCGCGAGAAGGTGCTCGTGTGCGGCCCCTCCTCCGTCGAAGCCAGCAGACGCCCTCCTTGTGTTCTTTTGTTGTGGTTGCCTTTGGCGAGAGAGTGGCGCTTTTCCCTACTCGCGTTTCGCCAGGGTGTTTTTACAGGGGTCAAAGATTCCTCCCACCAGGATCTCCACAGGGGAGGGGGGCCAGGTGGAGGCGTCTCCTAGGCCCGGCGGCGCGGCCCGGAATTTGCTGGCAGCGTTGATTATGGTGTTCTGGCTCGATGTGGTCCAGAAGTGCGACTCACTATGGCTATTTGGCTCGATGTCACTTGAGTTACTCCTTTCCTGGGGTTCGAAAGCCGTGTGTTTTCCGCCTGCTCCGATCAGTCGCCCTTCTACTGTGGCTCCAGCCCAAAAGGTGCCCCTTTCTTGTGGCTCGAATCCTATGGGTGTTACGCGTGGGGCTATAGATTGCCCCCTTCCTGTGGCTCGAATCCTGTGTGTTTACGTATGTGCCTATACATAATATAAACAAATACGCCGGGCCCCCTCCTGGGGCGTCCTCCACCTCGCTCACATCTCGTGTACGCTCCACGTACCGCGTTCCCTGGCCTCCCGGGGAGCCCCCAAAACGCCCAAGGACAGCCAAAGACGCTCCCAAGCAACCCAGGATAGCTTTCGGGCGGCCCTCCAGGCTCCCAGGAGGCCTCCAAGAGACCTCAAGAGAGCTCCGAGAGGCCTCCCGAGAGCGCCCGGAGAACCGAAAATTGTTAATTTGCTTGTTTTTTGTTGCGAGTTCAAAAGCGAAGCATTGTGAACGGTCACACAAAAACACACAAAAAAAAAAAAAAAAAAAAAAAAAAAAAAAAAAAACGTAGGTGCCTCAGAGCGCGGCGCGCGCCCACAGAGCGCTGGGCGCCGCGCGCACGTGTGTCGCAGGCGGGCATACCGAGCAGACGGATCAGGCGGGGCGCGCATGGGGGGAGCGGCAGCGACGCGCGCCCCCGCCGCCGGTTGCGATCGCAGGTGCGCAGGTAAGCGCGCGAGCCGCGACCGCGCGTGCGACCGCGGGCCTGGGTGCGGCGCAGGTGAGTCATATATCATTATTCGGGTGCGCCGCGCGTGCCCGCCTGTGGGATTATTTGTCCCTCTTGCTCTGCTGACTGGCCGCGCGGCCCTGCCCTGCCGGCTGCGCTTCGTTGTCGTCTCGTTCTTTCGGGTTCCTGGGCTCGCGTCCGCTTCCTCCCCTTGGCTCGCGCTCGCGTCCGGCCTGTGCCCCGTCCCGTTCGCTTCGCTCCTCGGCTTCTGCCCTGCGTGCTGGCCTGCCCTGTCCTGGGCCCGCTGCCCTTGCCCGGCCCTGTCCTCCTGGCTCGCTTCGTGGCTGTCGCCTTGCTCGGTTCGCGTTTTCGCGTCCGCGTGTCCCTGGCCTGCCCTCCGGTCGCTTCGCGCGTTGCGTTTGTTCGCGTCGCCCCGTCCCCGGGTCCCCGGCTGTCCTTGCTGGCTTGTGCCGCCCTGCCTCCCCTGCCTCCTGTGCCCTCGCGCGCGCGAGCCAGCCGCCGTTGCGCCGCCGCCTTTTCCTCCCCGCGCAGGTTCCGCGCCCCCTCTCCTCCTCCCTCGTCGGTTTGGCGCGGGTCGTGGCCAGGACCTTTGGGCCCTCCTCGCGGGGCCCCGCTCCTCGTGGAGGCGTTGTGGCCAGTTGCGGGGGTTCAACGGTTCCCCGCGCGCGGCTGGCCGCCTCCATCGCCGCCCGTGGTCGCGCATGGAGCCGCCGTGCAGCGGTGAGAGCGGGGCGATCCACGCCAGTGCGATTCGGCGCGCGTGGCGCGCGAGTTCGCGTTTGCTCGGCTGCTATGTTCGCATTCCTCAAGGAGGACCCTGCGGTCGGGTCCGAGTGGGAGGACGGGCAGTTCGGACCCCCGCTCGAAGTGTTGTGCGACAGTGGGTTGACGGCGCCGAAGTTTCTTGCGAACTTGTTGGTGAATGATTTGAAGTTGCCTGGGGAACTGCCCGCCCTGACGAGGGGGCCCCTGGCGCGGTCGTTGGGACGGTTCAATAGCAGCGACCAACCAAGTCTGCGCGTGCACGTGGACGTCGGCGAGGAGCTCAAGGCGACGCGCCTGGCGGACCTCGATCCCGAGCTGTGGCCAAGGACCGTGCCATCTCTGGGGGGGGGACGCGCGGTACGGGAGGCTCTCCCGGTGGGCCGTTGGCTCTCGGGTGTGTCCCAGGAGGCTCTCTTGGGGTACTCTCCCGGTGGGCCGTTGGCTCTCGCGGCGCGGTACGGGGGGCTCTCCCGGCGGGCCGTTGGCTCTCGTGCGTGTCCCAGGGGGCTCTCTTGGGTGGGTTGCCGGGCTCCGGTTCCCTTCGACACTGCATGGTCCGGAGGGCTCTCCAGGTGGGCCGCGATGCTCTTCACTGCGTGGGCCGAGGGGCTCCCCTGGGGGATTCTGGGCTCCAGTTCCCCCGCGGGGCTTGCGTGAAGTGCGATCCGGGAGGCTCTCCCGGTGGGTCGCTGGGCTCCAGCTTCCCATGTGCATTACGTGTCCGGAAGGCACTAAGGCACTTTTGGGCGGGTCCTGGTGGACCGGGACAGCAGCACGGTCCGGGAGGCTCTCCCGGCGGGCCGATGTCTCTTGGCGTAGGGGTCCCAGGCCCGTTCCCCGCTGGGCCCCCTGGGTGCGTTGGGCCTTGGCGGTCCTGGGGCGCGGCCCAAGGTGGCCCGCCCTCCTCTTTTCATCTTTTCTTTGGCTTTCCGCCCCCACAGCTTCAGCTTCAGCACTGCAGACCACAGCGCGGCAGACTAGCGCAGCAAACCGCAACAGCACGGCGAACCAGCACGGGAGACCACAGCAGCATGACAGACCATAATTGCTGACCACAACTGCACGGCAGAACCCTAGAGCACGGCAGACCACAGAAGCATGACACGCTACAAGAGCACCGCGCACCAACACAATGAACCGCCAGCAGTCACGCTGGTCGTTTTTGTTGTGGTTCCGAATGCCTTCGGGGTTTACAACAGGACGTTATGTGACAAGTTTCGTGGACAGGGCGACGTTTCCCAGATCTTGCCCGGCCAGGTTTCTCAATCATGGCAGCATCATTCGGGATATATTTTGTCGGTTGCGGGGGCACCAGGCTTGCTTGGCGGTGTCGCTTGTGGGGCAATGCGTAGTGGCAGTGCGAATTCTTTTTACTGCGCTGGCTGAGGCGTGGTAACACATGCTAGGGCTGCGCTCCATCAAAAATGGCGTCGTCTGGGACATCCTCACGGCGCCAAGACGGCCTCAGAAAGCGTCCACAGAACTGCAGGACACGCCCAGACAGCCCAAGAAGACTCCCGTGGCCCCCTAAAGGACCCCGCCAGGCCCAGAAGAGGTCCCCAGGATGCCCCAAGATAGCCCCCCACACGGCCCCAACAGCCCCCAGGGTAGCTCCAGAAGATCGCGAGGACCCCTCTTCTTCGACGTCCTTCGGGTTCCTTACCGTCCGCCTTCGTCGTCCTCCCCCTCCTCCGTTTCTCTATAACGTTTCCCTGTCGCCCCCCGAGGCCAGTTTTTAGGGCGGGCCGGGCGTTTCGTTTGAGACTTCCTCACCATGTATGATTTTGAAGCTTAAAAATTGGCAACACTTTCACAGATGGAGTGCGGGTCGTTTTCAAAATGTGGCTCTCATCTTGGCACGGCGCACATTCATTTTAACAAATTGCAAGAGCTTCACGGATTGAGGGCGGGTCGTTGTCAAAATGTGGCTCTAGCCTTAGCGCGGCGCACATTCGCTTGAACAAATGGCAAGAGTTTCGCGGGTTGATGGCGGGTGGTTTTCAAAACGTGGCTATCGTTTTAGCGCGGCGCACATTCTTTTAAATATTTGCAAGAGTTTCACGGATTGAGGGCGGGTGGTTTTCAACATGTTGTTATCGCCTTAGCGCGTCGCACATCCGTTTAAAGAAAGTGCAAGAGTTTCGCGGAATGAGGGCGGTTGCTTTTCAATATGTGGTTCTCGCTTTAGTGCGGCGCACATCCGTCTAAAACAATTGCAAGAATCTCACGGGTTCCCATCATCAACGTGTCAGAAATTGTGTTTTGACAGGATGCAGGATTATGTGGGTGCAGCAGTTACGTTGGTTCGTTGTGTTGAAGTCCCAGGAATGGTGTTATGGCACGATTCAGGATTGTCAAGACGCAACAGTCAGGTTGATCCGTGGCGTTGGAATCCCGAGAACAATGTTTTGGCATGTTTCAGGGTCTTCAAATTGTCTTCCAAAGAATCGGTTCCTTCAATGGAAATGAACCGTTGTAGGGGCCTATGAAGAGGGACCTTGGAGGGAGGGGTTATTCCAACATCGTTGATGATTATTGGGTTTATACTGGTCCTCCTCCTCCTCCTCCTCCTCCTCGTCGTTCCTCCTCGCACTCGTCCTCCTCTGTTTCTTTCTCCTTGTCCGTGTGCGTGTTTTGCTACTCGTTGTCCTGGTCCCCTCGCTGCGTTTCCCGTCATCCACGCTGTCCTCCTCGTCATCCGCCGCCTTGTCGTCGCCAATCCTCCACGAGCCCAATGGACGAAATCGGCGCTTCCCGTTGCTGTCCGAACAGATTTCTCAACAAACGGTAGTGTCGCTCGTGACATCCTCAAAAATGTTCCCCAGATGGGTGATCCGAATCAACATCGTCTTGGAATCGTTTTTGCAGGGACCCACCGTTGCCAAAAGAGTCCCAAAAGGCTCCCCGGAGCACCCCCCAGAGGACACGCAGAGGGCCCCAAAAGACATTCAAGAGAGCCCCAGGAGGCACCCAGACGGCCCAAGGCAGCCCAAGATGTCGCCAACACGGCCGAAGAGAGCCCCCACAATACCTTCGGACACGCCCAGACAGCCCAAGAAGACCAGTGAGGACCCCGACAGGCCCACAAGAGACCCCAGGATGCCCCAAGATAGCCCCAGACGGCCCCAACAGCCCCCAGTGTAGTCCGAAAAGATCACGGGGACCCCCTTCTTCGGCGTCCTTTTCCTCGGGCTCCGTACCGTCATCCTT